ACTAATAGCCATTCCCCAAAAATAGGTGGTCAAAGGATATGAACAAATAGTTCTCAAAAGAATTGCAAAGAATTCACAATTACCTGAAAGAATGGCCCAAATCGCTAATTATAAGATATATGTGATTTAAAAAAATCTTGAGTTTTCACCTCACACCTTGCAAATTGGCAAAGATGACAAAAATGGCAATAATGTTGGAGGTGCCATGAACGATTGGCACACTATTAAATTAATGGTAGAGCTGTGAACCATTTTGGAAAGGAATTTGGAATTATAAAAATAAAGTGACCAAGATACCCATGTCTTTTGAACTGGAGATTCCATGACTGGACTTGTATCCCCAATGAAAACCATCACTAAGAAAAAAGAATTCTTAATAGACCAAAATATTTATAGCAGCACTCTTTGTGATGGCAAACAATTGGAAACAAAATAGATATCCATCAACTAGGGAATGGCTAAACAAATTGTGGTAAATAAATGTGATGGAATATTACTGTGCTGTAAGAAGTTGTGTAGGTAATAAATACAAAGAAGCGTGAAAAGATCTATGTGAACTGATGGAGTGAAGTAAACCGAACCAAGAAAAGAATATATACAACTATAACAATGTACATGGAAAGGGCAACCACAAACAAAAAATCAAAAGTTAGTATAATAAGATTATGAAGTTCAAGCAGGACTCAAGTGAAGAGATATCAAAGGACACCCCACACCCACCCTTCATGAAGATGGGAAGTCCACAGGTGTTACATGTTGCACGTTTGCAGACTTTTTCAACGTATCTATCAGTTGCACTGATATTTTGCCTCTTTAAAAAATACTATTTGTTATATGGGGTGTATCTCTGGAGGGGAAGGAGAAAGGATACTGGAGATGATGTAAAAAAAAAAAAGACCAATAAAAACTTTTTAAAAAATAGTCCTCCTAGTCAAGATGATTCCCTTAAGATATCTCAATGAAACTTTATACTCATGGAATTTGAAGAATTTCCTAAAAGAATGAAAGCCTTGGCTAAGACCAGATTCCTTATTCATTCCCAAAGAATCATCAAATACTGGAGCTAATCCAAAGGTCACACTTTAAGGATTAAAAAAAGAGAGACCCAGAGAAATGAATAAGCAACATCTTAAGATCATGAAGTTTATAAGAAGGTGGCTGTACAATTTTCACCATCTCAAGCAGAGTCATGTGATTAGTAATGATGATATTTATAAAGCATTTTATACAAATTATCTCATTTGAGTGTCATTAAATCCTGAGAGGAACAAAAGCCATTACCATGCCTATTTTTAAATGATGAAACTGAGACACAGAGTACTTAAGTAATTTTTTCATGGTCATAAAGCTAGTATTTATAAGAGACAGGATTTGTACCCAGATCTTTCTGACTCACAGTCCAGTCTAGAATTCACTATGCCACAGTTCAATAAAAAGAAAATGGAAAAAAAGGATGCTTGGCCACATATGTACAATCATTTTATTTTTAATGAAGGGTCATTTCAAATAAGTCCAGTTTTCTCTTTTGAGCAGAATACATTCTATATTTCCGTTTGTACCAGGAAAAGAGTTTGATAATTTTGCTACCTCTCACATAACTTTGGACCCAAGTTGCTGTCTATCTGAACTGTCAATACCTTATATGCATTCTATTGGACAGGCTCTATAGGAAGTCCATCCAGATGCCTGTTGAAATCTAGTCTATCATCATTCTTCATCCATTTGGTCTTTCCTGTGTGAATAGACAGGCCAAAAGCCTATAATTCCAGATTCCTTTTAGCTGCACTGTTCTGGGGCTTTAAGTAATCAATACCATGTCATTCACAAACAGGATCATTTAGAAGATCTCATCATCCACAGAGTATTCCTCTTCTACTTGTATCTCCTCCATTGCAGTGGCGAATGCGTTTGGTAAGAATACACCTTATTTTATATTTATCATCACATGTTTATTAGATTATTTTCTATTATTACAGCTTCCAAGAAATATTGAACAACCATGATATATGGATAGATATATGGATGGGAGATGCCTTGTTGTACAAGAACGGCTACCTCCCCCCAATTTTTTTAATCAACAACAAAAAAATACATCTTTCAAGTGATTGTGAAATGGTAAAGATGTTTTAAACAATGTTTTAAAGAAACATTTTTGAATGTTTCTTGCAAAACCCTGTTGTTCTCTACTAATAGGTTACTCTCAATTCATATAAAGTTACACTTATAAAGATTTTCTATTGATGGGACAGTAGGCATCTATGTTGATAGTTATTGAAGTTCTGTCACCTTTTTTGACATTAATTAGCTCAGATATTTTCTTTTCTGCACTTTTCATTTATTCATCTCTTACATACGTATCTTCCACATTAGTCGCTCGCTCACAATTGTATCACCTCAAGCACGCGTCTCCTCTATATACACTTGATCCAGTGCAGCTAGTTTTCCTCTTTATACTTTTTAGTTTCATTTCTACTTTCTCAAAATGCACATCTGGGGGGCAGCTAGGTGGTGCAGTAGATAGAGCATCAGTCTTGAAGTCAGGAGGATCAGAGTTCAAATCTGGCCTCAGACCAAACACTTGACACTTACTAGCTGTGTGACCCTGGGCAAGTCACTTAACCCCAATTGCCTAAAAAAAAAATGCACATCTGGGATTGTGATCTCAGGGTGTAAGTGTGGTCATTCCACTATGTTTGACAGGGAAATAAAACTATTTTTTTAATAAACCTTTTACATTTTTCTTCTGATTTTCTTTTGGTTTTATCCTCCACTGCTTTTTGCTGCTTTATATGGCATAATAGTGCTCATAATTATTATTGTAAAATTTTCTTTGAAAAATTTTGCAAATTTATATTCACTTGTGCCTTTGGTAGCCATATCTCTCCTTGGGCATGTAAGTGAAATGATTGTTCCCTATAGCTTGCTCTCTGGCCATTTTTTGTCTCCTTATTGTATTAATTTACATTGGAAAAACTGCTGGATGAAATTCTCAATAGTTTCAGTGTCATGTCTACTGTCCATTTCCCTTTTTTGATTTTCAATTACTTATTTGAATCATTCAGTTAATATATTTCAGTTGCACATCATATTTTTTAAATATCACTTTCTTCTTGTTTATTCTTATTTTTTTTTAACTAATTCTGGTTTTAGTTCTGATGTCACTGTGGTCTGACTATACATAGATAGCTCATCCAAGGATAATACCCACATAATTGTCAAGTCTTTTCTTGTGTGCTAAAATCCAATCTGTTCTTTAGGTTGTTACTTGGTTCTTGACATACTGAATATCTACCAATTCTTTTTTCCAAAGTGTTCATTATAGAGAAGCAGGAGGCTCCTATGTAATGTACAAGTCTTTTCCTCTCTCATTCCTTCTCCTTGAACCATGCATTCTGACACATTTTTCTGTACTCTCACATTTTCCCACCTTTGCATCAAATTCTCCAAATATCAAGCTATATGTTGATTTGATTTGGAAGGGATTAACAAATTCCATTAGATTGTAAGCCCCATGAAGGCAGGGACTATGTTTGCCTCTTTTTGTATCCCCAGTGATTGTCTATCACAGTGTGGGGTAATAGTAGACACTTACTAAATGTTTATTTATTGATTGATTCTTTGTAGAATTTGTCTTTCATTTCATTCTCAGCAGCTGATGTTGGTACGTATGCTGCAGTCATTTTCATAGTTAATGTTCTGCAAATACTTGTCATTATTATTACAATGCATGATGACCAAAATCCCATTAACCTTGTTGTTACCTCCCCAAAAACGCTAAAGTTAACCTTGTCCACTTCTTTCTTTGCATCTCCAATTAGTACCATAAGCCACCCTTCCGTTTTACTGCAACTTCCACCTTTCCTCAAGTTTTATTAAAAGCAAGAATGTCAAGACTGCTATGAGTCTGCCAATCCAGCATTATTATTTAATGGCCATCTCAAATTTAGAATACCAAGAGTTAAGTTTATGTTTATAGACAGTCTACAAGTTGAACACCCTTAGCCTCTTTCTGCCATCCTGCTACTGCAGAAGCAGAATGGGGCCACCCAAGACTAAGTGGCATTTTACATTTTTCTTCATTTCATGGGTTGCCGTAATTAAAGAATCAGTCACTCAGTAGCCAGCCTACTAGCAATAAGCCTCTCTATGCTTAGCTAGGCTGACCTTGAGAAAGTAGACATAGTCTATTGCCTCTAAACCAGAAATTTTCATAGCAAGTATTTGGGTCCCACTTCTCCCCTCCTCCAATCTCAACTGCGTGTTAACCCTTCCAAACAGACAGGAAACCTGTCATGATATCTTGAGAATTTTAGTTTCTTAGTTTAGCCATAGCCTCTACAGCTATTTTACGAAGTAATCTGGGGGAAAAGTGCTCATTTAGGAACTCTGATCAACATAGTAACTAACTACAATTCCAGAGGACTCATGATGAAAGACTCTACCTACCTCCTGATAGATAGATGATGACCTCAGAGTATAGATCAAGGCTTATGACTTTGTTCGTATTTTGGACATGGCCAATACAGAAATCTGTTTTATTTGACTATACATGTTTGTATCAGGATTTGGGCATTTTGCTCCCTCATTCAGGGAGGGGAAAATTGGGAGGGAGAGAATTCAGACCTGAAAATAAAATAAAATTGATTTTTTTTAAAAAAGAGAAAAGTGTCCATTTATACATTTGTTTGAGAATATAGCTTATATATCCAAAAAACAAGAGATACATCAGCATGCCTTAGAAACAGCAAAAGAACAAAAGGAAGTCTTTATCACAGGGAATGAAATTTTTATGTAGGATTTATGGCAAGATATAAACAAAAGTCACAGAGAATGAGAAGAGGTGGAGGAGTTGTGATCTGCCTGAAATCACAGATCCACTGTGTACTGATTATATATGTCTAATTTTGTGGAACTTCAGGATACAGTACCAAATCCACTTCTATAGATAGGCATAGCTTTTTTGAAGAAATTATTCTGCACTTACCGATGATTGCTAGGAGGTTCTGAAATTAGTTCAATTGGTTCTTAGAGCAATGAATTTTATACTGCTATAGCTCTCACTGAAGAGGCTTTGTCTAGATGCAAACAGAAAAAAAAAAGCCGTCTTCAAATAAGAGAAACTGGACCTCAACAGTAAAGCCATCTTTTGTGTGGACTCTCTGCAGAGCATTTGGTCTAATCCACAATGGAAAAACAAGTCCATGGAAAACACATATTCTATATTATGACATGAAATTTCACACACAGCCTGTCAAGCTTATTCACCAAATCTCAGACAGGTGCTCCAGATAGAGAGTGTTTGGCACAGAGTAAGAAGAGAAAATAGGGTTGGATCACTTTCAGTGATCCTTTCAGTCCTTTCAGTCATCCCAAATTTCTCCTTATTGCAAAAGCCCATATCTAATATCTATATTCTCCTCACAATGCTACAAATTGTAGAACACAATGATCTCAGGAGCATAAAAATTATAGGTAACCCAAAAGGCAGTGGAAAGACGCATGCTATATATAGATAGAATTATAACTAGCAATTTCTGTACCTGAGGTAAGCAAAGTGAAATTCTTCCTTGAATCAAGTTTGTATATATAGGATCAAAGGAGCTTAGATTTGGAGCTGGAAGATACCTTAGAGGGCATAAAATCCAATGACCTCCTTTTATACATGAAGAGATACAAGCCCAGAAATGAAAAGTGATTTGTGCAAAGTCACACAGGTAGTAAGTGGCAGATTCAGGATTCAAATCTCAGCTACTCTAAGTCTTAAAAAATATGACTACTAATAGCAATAGTCACAGCAAAAACAAGCAACATTTACATGGTACTTTAAGGTTTGCAAAGCACTTTATGTTTGCTAACCCATTTGATCCTCACAATCCTGGAAAGTAGGTGCTATTATTATTCCCACTTTACAGTTGAAGAAACTGAGCCAAATGGAGGTTAAATAACTTTCCCAGGGTCACACAGCTAGTAAGTATCTAAGGCAAGATTTTAACTCAGATCTTCCTGACTCTAATTCCCAATCTCTATCCACTGTCACCTAGCTGCCTTGTACAATCTAATATTATTTTTACTCTGCCATGTAATTGTAACAAATTCAGTGGCACAGAGAACTTGCTAAATGCAGTCTCAGAGTTAAAAATAATTTCAGAGATGATACAGTTCAATCCAAATGATCTGGGTCCATTCTTTTTCTACCTTAACAGGGAGACTTTGGCTCCTTGCCATGCAGGATGGAGGACAAATAGGTAGTACTAGAATTATTACTCACTCTCTTTTATGAGAAGTGTTACTGCTTAGAGAGAAAGGGTAAATGAGTAGCTGGTCCACCAGGTAAGGAATGAAGGAAAGGGAAGTCCTAAGAAAAGAATGAAGTAGTATAGGTTGGGGATTTCTTGGAGTAAAGTGAGGGAGAAAGGGAGAGAATGAACAGGATGCAATATGCTGTCCCAACAGACATTCATGATCCAAACTTTCTCTTCCTTGTTCCTCAGCCAGTATCTGACTTCCTCTCACCTCTTCCCACTCTAGTAAAAGAGTACATCTGTTCAAAATAATTTTTCCCTCTAAGTTCCCTATCGTGGGGAAAAGCCCTGGTGGCCCTAAGCTAGCTATGGCTCTAGACATAATTAGGGTACATACAGCATGTTACTAGCCATGCTTTATAGTTAGGAACTGATATAAAGGACATTATCGAAGACATGTTATGAGTAGAAAAAGAGAGGTCATGTAGCAAGAATAAGAAACAAGAATTGGCAGGCCAAGTGATATATCAATATACCCCAGAAATAGCAATTTATCACAATGAATGAGTCCTTTATGGAGGATTTATGGCAAGATACGGACAAGAGTTGCAGAGAATGAGAAGGGGTGGAGGGGTTGTGATCTGCCTGAAATGACAGATGTATTAAAATGTCAGATGAATTTTTAGCTGTGTTTTTAGACTTTGTCCTATATCCTGAGGCTTCACATCAGAAGACGCTGCTTTAACCAGCAGATAAATAAATGGGAAAAGTATTGTTTTCCTTCCTCCTTCAGTCTCCTTGTCCTCTTTCTACCTACCAACAGCTTAAATTCCATGGAGACAGCATTATAGTAACGTTTCAACCTACCTAATGAGAATATATTTTGAGCTGACAAGGAGTAGAAGAACCAAAATGGGCATTATTTTCATTCACTGTTCCAAGTCCGGTTCACCAAATTTTAGGGGTCCTTCCCTTGTTCCTTTATATAAGGTGAGAATTAAATGAAGGAACAGGGCTCTGAGGCAGCAAGAACAAACAGTAGGGCTATTGTGGCCAAGGATGGGGGGCAGTAGAACACAGGAGAAACTACTCACAAGGGCACAGCACATGGAGCTGGAAGAAGCCAAAAAAGACCATCTAGCTCTACTCCTTAATTTTACAGATGAGGAAACTGAGGCTTAGAGAGGGAAGGTGTTTTGTCCAAGGTGACTCCATTCGTGTTTAAAGCTTACTTCATCTAAGAGACTTCCTTGATGAACCCTACCACCTCTCTATTCCTTCCTTCGTTCTATATCCCATTGTGTTTTCTTTGTGTTTTTTACTAGATCGGCAATTTTATTTCACTGGTATTGGGAAGTCTCAATAAAGAAATTCCCTTAAACAACCTACATCTGCAAGTGCTTGGGCAATTTACGGTCTTAGAGAGTTTCCCAGAGCACTGAGAAGTGACCTATCCAGGGTCATGTTTCTAGGATAGTTCAGAAGCAGGACTTGAACCCAGGTCTTCCTGACTGAGGTAAGATCTCTGAGCACTATACCAGGCCACCTCTCAAATATTCAGTTATAATTAATGCAGAATTTGTGTTTATTAAATTTGAACTCTGTCATTTGGTCCTTATTATCATGTTGATCTGTTATATTCTCACATATGTAGATTCTATCCTCTCCCTCTTGACGACAGGGCCCTAATGAATAGGGACTATGCCATCTTTCCTTCTTCCTTCTTTCTATAAAACCCTGAATATATTACACAGAGAAGGCCCTCCAACTTTACCTGTTGACTTATAATAGTAGCTAACATTTATAAAGCACTTGAATGTTTACAAAGAATTTTACAAGCCCTATTTCATTTGTTCCTCACAACAGCCCTGTGAGGTAGGTGCTGTCTTACAAATTAGGAAACCGAGGCTCAGAGAAGTGTTAACTTCCCCCAATTCATAGAACTAGCAAATGATTGTGGCAAGATTCAAACCCGGTTCTTCCTGACTCTAAGTTCAGCCCTCTACCCACTATCTAACACTTCCCCTACAGCTAACTAAACTCTCCCACTCCCCAACAGGAGAGACAGATGGTTGCTGCTGAGCAAGCCCTGATCCTGGAAACTTTCCTGGAAATTTTGACTTCTGACTATGAGAATACAGGAAGTTTTCTGAGTTTTTCTAAAGTATGATGCTCTACTTGTATTATTCTCACTAATGGCATTGTAGCTATTGGTAGGACTTCAAAGAAAGGAAGAGAGGGAAGGAAGGAATGGGGGGAGGGAAGGAGGGAGAAGGAATGAGGGAGAAAGAACATTTATTAATGCTTTTTAATGAAATGAAAATTATATGTCAAGCATTGTGCTAAGCACTGTACATACAAATAAAAGCCAGTGTGACAGTCTCTGCCCTCCAAGAACTTACATTCTAATGGGAGAAGACAGCATATAAAGGGGAAGTGGAGAAAGGGCAGGAGTATGGCTTGGAAATGGCCAGGAAGGGATATGGTATCCCAGTTCTAGGCAGGATAAAGCAAGAACTCCCATTTCAGAGGCCAGGGTCCAAGGGGCAAAGCCCAAGTTCCAGTGGGAGGAGAATGAGAACGTGGCACCAGAGTATATGTGGCAAAGTCTGGGAAGTTGGTGAAGCCTGATGGCTATAAGATGAATGCAGCAATTCATCACCATTGGCAAGCTGGCCAGGTCTACCATTAATGGATTATCCACTTGCACCAGTGAATTGAGCACGTGAGCAGGATTTTCTCAGTCAGGCAAAACAACAACAAAACAAAAAGAAAATTTCAAGGTAACCAATCAACCAAAGAGGTAATTTGCCTTTGGGATGCCATTTGATTCAAAACCAAAAGAAAAAAGAAAGATCTGCCTCTATTGGGACTTTTCAGTCCATCTGTGGGTTTTGTCTGGGGGTACTTATACACTGGACTATTAGGGATTCTCTGAGGGACAAAAATCACATGTAGACGATGGCAACCAGCACAAGAAACGTCCAAAATTCTCTATCGCCGGCCGCTTCTCAGGTCTCAGAGCCCACACAGTTATCAGGGGCTTTGTCTGGGGATGGAGGAGGGGGGGGGAAAGAGACAACCTGGTAGCTTTGTTACCAAATGCCAGGGTCCTTGTGGAGATGCAGACAATGCCTCCCTGCTCCCATTATGCTACTTCAGCCCCAAGCTCTGAAGAGTATTGATAAGAGGCACAGAATAAGCAAGGAAATCAAGGCTTTCCGAGTAATGGGCCTTGGAATCTTAGTTATTGTTAAATTTACAAATAACTTGAATAAACCTTTCAATTAAAGAGGGAAAGAAGAAACAAGTTTTCAGCTCACCATTGGCATTGGTCACACAATCATTCCTCACACAGAGGACAGCCTTTTGGAACAAGGACAGCCATCTTCTTACAATAAGGATGGATAAATCACAGTTTCCAAGTGAAAAGATCTGTCTCTCAGCAGTGTGTCCAGCGGTTCTCCACTTGACCTGAATCAAAGACACAAACAGTGTGAGACCTAGCTATTCAAGGACCTAGATCATTCCCTTGATTTGTGTCCCTTCAGAGCTGATGTCAAGTCAGGCCTACATTAACAATTCATTTCAATGCTGGCTGTGTATGCGGCTATATGTATGTGGGCATTCCTCTAGGCACTGCCTTCTCTCTGTATACCCTCTTTCCTCAGATATTGCATCCACTTCCCTGATTTCAACTATCATGTCTTTCTTCAGCCCCATCTGGCCCTTGGAACTCCAGAGCCAGCCACCTAGTAGACATTTGGGAAGCAGTGTGGGACACTAGAAAGAAACAAGGGATTTGGAATCCATGGTTGTTCAGTCATTTTTCAGTCATATCTGACTCTTCATAACCCCATTTAGGGTTTTCTTGGCAAAGGTACTGGAGTGGTTTGCCATTTCCTTCTCCAGCTCATTTTATAGGTGAAGAAACTGAGGCAAACAGAGGTTAAGTGATTTGCCTTGGGTCCCACATCTAGTAAGTGTCTGAGGCTGGATTTGAATTCAGGTCTTCCTGACTCCAGGCTTGGTGCTCTATCCACTGCATCACCTTGCTGCCCCTGGAGTCCATGGACCTGGGTTCAAATACCTTATCTGCCTCATACTACCTGTGTGACCTTGGGCAAGTCACCCAGCCTCTCATGACCTCAATTTCTTCATCTGTAAAATGAAGAGAGTCGGACTAAATGCCTCCTAAAGTCCCTGACATCTCTTAATCTATTGTTCTGTGAGTTCTACCTAGTTGACCTACCAATACCTGAAACTCAATATGTCCCAAACTGTACTCGCTACTTACCTCTCAAAACTTGCTTTTCCTTTGCTGATTTCTTGACTCCTGTTAATGACACTTCTAGCATTCTAGACACCCAGACTCAAAATCTTGGTGTTATCTTCGACTCCACCCTCTTCATCACACACACACACACACACACACACACACACACACACACATCCAATTAGATATCAATTCCAGATAATCCCACCCCTTTCATATCTCTCACCTTTAACTTTTCCAATCCCACTTCCACCACACTAGTACATACCTCCATTGTCTCTCTTCTATACTGCAGTGGCCTCCTAACTGGACTCCCCATTTACAGTCTCTTTCTACTACAATTAATTCTAAAATTGATGCCCATATTCATCTTCCTAAAGTACAGCTCTCTGATCATGCTACTCTTCTGCTCTGGAAGCTGCAATAACTTCCCACTCTCTGCTGAATGTAGTCCTTAAACTGAGGACCTACACAATTTGGTTCCATCCTAGCTGCCTGGTACAGCAGAATGAGGACTATGGTACTATGGCCATGGCTCTGCCCCATGATTTCCTGACCACATGTTTTTTGTTTACGTAGTTCCCCATTCCTTGAACACCACCCCCATTTTAACTTGTTGAAATCTGATCCATCCTTGAAGCTCAAATTCTATCTTTTCAATGAAGCCTTCCCCAATTTTCCCATTCAGATATAACCTCAGTGCCTGGGACTTCCCAGACATTTATCACATTGGGCTCTGTATTTTAGTTATTTGCATACTTTTCTTATCTCCCCTACTATTTGGTTAATTCCTTGAAGGTAGCTAGATTGAATCTTAGCTCTTTCTGGATCTCTCTCAGTACCTAAAGTATCAAAGTTAGCAAGTCCTCAAAAAATATTTCTTGAATTGAATTGTTGTGAAAAAGACTAATGCTCAGTGTAATGATTATTTATGGAGCATTTACTTTGTCACAGACTCTGTGATGTCCTGGAGATAGAGACAAAATGGAACAGTCCCTGTTCTCAAGGAGCTTGTTAACATATATGAGCATAGACACACATACGTAAGGTGAATGTGTTGCCCGTGTAGGTTACAGGTGTCCACGTGGCTTTGTCAAATTTCCTCACAGGGAAGTATGAAATAGATATCTCTGGAACTGTGGCCACCCTTCTCCAAGGGAGACTTTGATTTCTGCCAGGAGAATAGTAAAAGATGGCCCCCTTTGCTTTATTCAGATCTGTTTATCTGCCCTCCTAAATACTGCTAGTCTAGTGAAAATAATTTTTAGCTTCAAGTCACTCTTCATTATTTCTTAATATAGAAGGAGCATCCCAAGCTATATCCAAAAGCTTGACTGTCAGGCAGCTAGGTGGCGCAGTGGATAGAGCACTGGCCCTGGATTCAGGAGGACCTGAGTTCAAATCTGGCCTCAGACACATAACACTTACTAGCTGTGTGACTCTGGGCAAGTCACTTAACCCCATTGCCCAGCCAAAAACCACAAAAACAAACAAACAAAAAAAACCAAAAGCTTGATTGTCTTCTCACTAAATGCCAATGGTACAAAGACCAACACACAGAGTGAATGACAAAATAACCCATTTATCAAAGACAATAATAAATAGCCATCAGAGAAGTTATACAGATTAGAATACAGCAAGCAATACACAGAAGGAATGAAATCTCCAACTGGGAGAGAGATGATTCAGCTCACCCAAGAGTCTCCACCATTAAGTAAGGGGAAGTTCCCCAAAATCTCTCATGAAGCAAGCCAGAAATAAAGATACGCGGGTAGGCACTAGCTCCTCCACATGTCAGCTACTTAACAGAGTCTTTTTCTCCTTCCAGGGACCCCAAAAGAGCCCAGAATTGGTTGAGTCCACTCTGAAGGCTGGAAGCCAGAAGAAAAGCTCTCTTCTCCCAAGGTCTCTCTAGTTCTGCCGCTCACATGGGCGGGGAACATGAGGAATCATTCTCTCCGCCAATGAGGAGAATCTTGCGAATGTGAATGCTTTGTCTCGAGCCCTAGGCTACCTATAGAATAACACAAAGTAGAGAGAAAGGGCACTAGCAGCTGGGAGGCAAGTGGGGAGAGGTCAGGAAAGTCTTCGTAGAAGGTGTAACTCGGGCTGAATCCTGAAGTGAGGGACTCCGCCAGGCAGAAGGGAAGAGAAAGTGCACGGGGTACTTTCAATGCAGAGTCACAAATACGGGAGATGGAGTGTTGCACATGAGGAACACTAGGGAGGCCAGTTTGGCTAGATGGTAGTGTGCAGAAACAGGAGCAATAGAGCTGAGAGGGAACTTAGAGGCCGTTGAGGCCGATCCTGTCATTATGCAGATGAAGAAACCGAGGCCCAATGAAGTCAAGTGACTTGCTCAAGGTCACACAAGTGGACTTTACTCAGTTCCCACTCACGGCTTGCAGAGTTGCAAACCTTGCTGTCTCATCTTGGAATCTCTCTGAGCATTCAGGACCCCCTCACAATGAAACACCCAATTACCATTGTGACCGTCTCAACCAGGAACATCCCTCTAAGGCTGGCTCTTTTCTCCAGCAGGTGAGTTCCTTCTGTAGTCTCCATTTGTTGGGGGTCCCAGCTGGTCTTCATTCCCCTCCTAGTCCTATTCATAGCTTCTAGACTTCAAAACTATACCCCCTTTCATGTACCTTTATTCCCTCCTCCCCACCCCTAGCTTTTCCCACTCCTTTTTGTGTGTTATCTTCCTCCATTAGATTGCAAGCACATTGAGGGCAAGTACTCTTTCTTTTTGCTTGTATTTTTATCTATAGCTCCTGGCACACAGCAAGCAATTAATAGGTGTTTGTTTTCTTCCTTCCTTTCTGTACTGTTGTTGTTGTTCTGTCGTTTCAGTTACATCCAACTCTTTGTGACACCATTTGGGGTCTTCTTGGCCAAGACACTGAACTAGTTTACCATTTCCTTCTGCAGCTCATTTTACAAATGAGGAAACTGAGGCAAATTGGGTTAAGTGACTTGCCCAGGGTCACAGCTAGTAGCTGTCTGAGGCCAGATTTGAACTCAAGTGTTCCTGACTCCGGGCCTGGCGATCTATCTACTGTGCCACCTAGCTGCTCCTTCCTCTAAATCCAGGACCTTCCCCCTTATACCATATTTCTTCAATATAATAAAACTTGAAAGATAGATTGGAACCAGGTTCTGAAGGGCTGTGGAAGCCTTAAAAGTTTATATTTGAATCTATATGGAATAGAAAGTGACTAGGATTTATTGACTTAGAGAATGACATGGTTAAACCTATATTTAAGGAAAGTCATTTTAGCAGCTGCCTGTTGCATAGTAAGTTTGTATTGACTAACTGGAGGTTTGATGAGACTGAGGGACTAAGAGATTAAGAAATACATTTCAATTATTTGCCTCAACTGACCAGAGTCTTCAAATCCTCCACTTTGGGGTCTGTCTGCACCCTCCCTATCCCGGCTTTTTCCCTTTTGAAAACACTAAGAATAATGTCCTTACATTAATTTTTACTATAGCCAATCACCCACCATGCTTGGAACAGAGACCATACTCAGATTGCCCTTAACTCTAATAAACATGAAGTCCACATTTACAAGAAGAATGGGAACCAATGGGTGAGAGCCCATGAACTGAAGGAACACAATGGACACATCACAGGTACGGACTGGGCTCCCAAGAGTGACTGAATTGTAACTTGTGGTACAGACCATACTGCATATGTCTGGAGTCAGAAAGATGGCATGTGGAAACCAACCCCGGTGATCCTGAGAATTAATCACACAGTCACCTTTGTGAAATGGTTTCCTTCTGGAGAATAAATTTGTTGTAGGTAGCAGAGCTCAACCAATTTCTGTGTGCTACTTTGGGTCTGAAAATGACTGGTGGGGGAGCAAACACATAAAAAAGTCAATTTGTTCTACTGTCCTTAGTTTGAACTGGCACCCCAACAACATTTTACTAGATCTTGTGACTTCAGGTGCAGAGTTTTTTCTGTCTACATTAAAGAAGTTGATGAAAAGCTAGTCAGTACTCCATGGGGTACCAAGATGCCTTTTGGTCAACTGCTGTCAGAGTTTGGTGGTACTGGAAGTGGTGGTTGGTCCAATGGGGTTAGTTTCTCTACCAGTGGGAATTGCCTTGCTTGGGTCAGCCATGATAGTGCTGGTGCCTCCAAAAACAAGATGGTTTCACAGCTGAAAACAGAGTTCCTCCCACT